GCAACCCAGTCTTGAAGCAACATTTTGCATTTCGAGGGGGAAAACCGCATTCCGAACATGCTCGCATTGTTGCTTAGGGTAGTCAGAAGACTCTGCATTTTGTCAGCGTCTTCACCGAATAGAACTATGTCATCGGCATATTCTAGATCAGTAAGCGACTTTCCCGGTAGAAGGTCAACCCCTGAAAAATCTGACGAGCTTAATGTTAACTCTAAGAGGATGTCTACGACAAAGTTGAACAAGAATGGAGAGAGTGGACAGCCCTGACGGACACCACTTGATGTAGAGAATTCAGATGACAGTTCGCCATATGCTCTCACCCGACCAGTGGTGTTCGAGTAGAGTGCTTGTATAAGGTTAATGTACTTCTTTGGTACACCTTTCAATGACAGACACTGCCACAGAACCTCACGATCCACTGAGTCGAATGCCGCCTTAAGGTCCAGGAACACGACTATTGTAGGACGTCTAAATGTGTGTCTGTGTTCCAGGACCTGTCGTAGTGTGAAGATGTGGTCTATACAACCACGTCCAGGTCGAAAACCAGCCTGGTTTTCTCGAGTCTGCTCTTCGCGAGCCCTAGTTAGACGTCTAAGTATAATCGAGGCTAACAATTTAGAAACTATATTAGTTAAACTTATTCCCCTGTGATTGTCACAAGAGGACTTCTGTCCTTTCTTGTAGATTGGGACAATTAGCGACTGAGACCAGTCAGATGGGATTACGTCCATTTCCCAGATCCTACCTAGGATCTCGGTCAGTCTAACCGTTAAAACTGGACCACCATCCTTAAACATCTCAGGGGTAAGCCTATCGGGACCTGCCGCTCTACCTCCCCTTAGATTTCCTATAGCTTTCTCAACTGCATGTAAACTGGGAGGACTTAAATCGATCGGCCATTCAGGATGACTGGAGATCGTGGGCAACTGAAGAGTGGCTGAAGGCCAGTTGAACTGATCCCTAAAGTGTTCTGCCCATCGATCCAGTCTCCTAGATTGAGAATGGATAATAAGACCATCCTTTTCCGAGATAGTCTCACTCACATTCGGGTTCTTAATACCGGTTTCTTTAATAAGGCGGAAAAGTTGTCTAGTGTTGCCTATCGCCGCTGCCTTTTCCATCGCTTATGCTTTCGCCACCCACCACTGTTCACGGTCGTTACGTAGGCTTTTTATAAGTCTGCACCTAAGCTGACTACGCTCTTCATCATGTTCAGAGTCAGGTGGGATGCGTTTTCGAGCATCCATCAGTTTGGTGGATGCGACTGATATCCACGGCTTCATCCTAGCCTTGTGGTTTACCTTGCTAGCAGATACCATTGCTGTTTCCACAGCCTTCTTAATATGATTCCAACCTGCTTCAGGATGGGAATCACTTGCATGGCCGCCTAACTGTTTTTCTAGTTCCTCCTGAAATATTTTCTTAGCTTGATTATCATCAAGTAAAGCCCTAAGAGGCTTCCTTATGGTGTCTTTCCTATGTCCAGCAAGCCTCAAACAAATACGTGCTCGCACTAGGGCATGATCTGAATCTAAACATGTGCCCCAGAACGAGCGGCAGTCCTCTATCGAACCCCTCCATCGGTGGCTGATGGCGATATGATCTAGTTGTGTCCAACGTTGAGACGACTTCGGGGGTCGCCAGGTCAAAAGGTGTTTTTCCTTATGCTTAAAATTAGTGTTTGCTAGAAATAGTTGGTTATCTGAGCACAGTTGCAACAGACGGTCGCCATTGTCTGTTCTTTGAGCCGCGAGACCGTAACATCCACCTAGGTGTCTTTCATTTTCACTTAGTCTACCTACTTGTGCATTGAAGTCACCAGCCATTATAACTATATCAGAGCGCTTAACTTTTTGGAGGAGGTCCGAAAGCTTTCTGTAAAACTCATCTTTTACATCATCTGGGCTGCAGTCAGTGGGGGCGTAGGCTGATATGACGAAGAGGCAACGGCGAGTGTCCCTATCTTTCCGAGTCCTTACTGTCCCGTTGAGTCGGACGGCGCACAAGCGACAATCGACTGGGATCCAGTCAAGGAGAGATTGTTCTGCCCTACGACTCAATGCTATACCTACACCGGCGAGGCCCCTAGAAGCAGCATCAGGGCTACCGGATACACGAAGGGTAAATCGGGCTGCTTCTTTATCTTGACATGGTGAGGTCAAATGAGTGATGCTACTCGGATCCTGTATGCGCGTTTCCGAGACGCAGCACACATCGATGGAACGAGATTCTAAAGTCCTAGCTAATGATGCCTGTTGCCCTATTCGACACAATGTCCGTACATTGAATGCTCCAACATGTAGTTTGGAACGGGGTTTAAGGAGACCAGGAACGACGTTTCGCAAACTCGCATCGTTTGCATTAGCTGTGCACTGTAATAAATGAATGTGAGAAGAGTTAGTTGTGGAGATAAGAGAGGTATTAGGGAATGTAGGAAGGATTTGATTTTGAACAATTTTGTCTCGTGTGCTGTTGCGGGTATGAGGGCGGTTATCACTTCCCGGCTGCCCACACCGTGGAAGGTTGTTTCTTGACGAACCTGAAAAGGAAGATGGATTAGTGTTGGTGCGTGACCGCAGAGTCCAAGGGACAACTGCTTGAGGCCGGTCACGCACCGCCTTTTTATGAGAGGTATTTAGAGGATTAGCTCCGTTCTTAAAGGCCCTTAGTGGGCGCCCTTACCCAAGGAGACGGAAATCCGTGAGGTAGGGGAGGTGTGACATTTTTAGGGCCGACCTTTTCTAACCCTTCCTTCCTTGTGAGAAGGCAGCATCGCTGCTGATGCTGGTTGTCCGAGGGAAACACCTTACTGCTGTCACACCCCTCTGCAGTCAGCAGTACGACTTCGCCCTCAGACCTTGGGTAGCTGCTTTTAGTCTCATCGTTCTCCAATCGACCTGCCTGGCATGGTAGGACCTGCAGGAACATGTGTTCCAGCCAGTATAGCTCGGTTGGGTCATCACGATAGGCAAGCCCGACCACCACTTCAAGGTAGCAGCTTCGGTCGGGATTTACAAATAAGGGTGGCTAATGTATTAGGTTGTCGTTTCTCTCACCCTATTTTACTTATTTTGATCACTTAGCTCACAGTTTCATTTTGAGATAGAAATTTCTTTAAATTAACAATGCACCATTTTTATTTCATTATAGACAATGTTATTTTGATGGTATTCTTAAATTCATATAATGAAATTCTCAACGATGTATCTACTTTAAAAATGTGTGGATTCCATTGAATTAATAATTTAAACCTGTGATTATAGAACTGGATGAAAATTTACTCCTATGAATACTCTTTGTTTTTTTATACATATATATCTTAATAAAGTCCCATTTTAAAGACAGGAAAATTCCCTGAAGGCTTATCTAAGGCGTAAAACTGATTCAAACAAATATAAAGGCACAACTTGTAATCATAACTAGTGATTGACTGTAATCAATGTATGAAACATATTGTTTTGTTTATCATGTAATGTTAAAGGGTCTCAAATTTGATCGAAACACATGTCAATGCTTTTTGATCTTCCGATAGTTTTTAGACCGTTCAATAGCTGAAATTTTACGGAAACCTTTTTACTACTAATGAGTAGTTAAAAAATCTTGTTGGAGAGTTATCTTCACATCAACTTTTCGGCGAGGTGGGTTAGTCAGCAGGGAACTCTGTACCTAGGTTTCGCCATTGGTAACTCTCATCAGCAAGGAGTATCGTCACGCGATGTTAAGTTACTCCGGATTAGGGCCACATTGCATATTGATTGATACAATCCGGTTAGTACATAGACCAGTAAATCTGTTGCACCCCTAATAATTCAATGGTAACGTTTCAGACTGTGAAGTTTATGTTGTTAAGTAGCCTTAGTTTAAAGTTTTAAATCATAAATATGCTACACTATCTGAAATAATACATTAAAATTATATGTTGTTAAGCGTAATCGTTATAATTTATGGAGTTCTTCCGATTTATATTGAGTGGAAGAAAAAAGATGGCTTTAAAAACAAACAGGATGATCTGTAGTCTATTAAGTATGTTATCAAATAACAAAGAAGCGTTATAGTTCAGGTGGTGCTTTTGGTAGTGTTGTGCTCTCCTATTGACTACGCTACTCGGTGAGCCTCTCATAGCATGACCGATCATCTCTACCTTTCTCCTTCGAAATTTATCTCACTGAATTATACTTCTGGAATCATATCTTCGCTCCCTAATCTTTTCCATTGCTGCTAATAAATCTACTATCACTATCACTCTTGGATTTGAACTGACAGTTACGTCTCTGTGCTGACGTGGTATGACAACCTGAACTGATGTACTTATGTAGGAAGTTCTACGTTGTGTCTGTCTGTCTGCATGACCGATCGGGCTTTCTCATGTAGATTGATATATTGATTCTGTGCTGATACGTCTATTGATTGCCAACATACCTGAATATCATACTTCGAGGAATTCCTTAATGTCATCAAAGTTTACCTGATCCATAATTTCTATGATTTCCCTCTAAAAATTTTTTTCACGATCGTTTATATGCATTGATATCAATGATAGCAAATGTTTATTATGTTACACAATTTTTTACGAATATAAATGTTGATTGTGCATTTAAGTAACGTTAGAAATTTCTAAAAGTGTATCAACAGTATCCTATCAACATTACAAGCTTACTTACTTACGCCTGTTACTCCCAATGGAGCATAGGCCGCCCACCAGTTTTCTCCAACCAACTCTGTCCTGCGCTTCTCTCTCCAGTTCTGTCCAATGTTTGTTCATTCCTCTCATATCTTTCTCTATTTGTCGGCGTAATGTGTTCCTTGGCCTTCCTCTTTTCCTTTTGCCTTGAGGGTTCCATGTGAGGGCTTGTCACATTACAAGCTTAGTTTACTTAATTCAACTTTCTATATTTTTTTCTCCTAAGCTACATTTGAGCTAATAATGCTTGCTGTTATTTTATTCGTATATTAGGTATTGATTATACTTTTTTTTCTCCCTTATCTTAATTATGTTTCAGGAAATCGTGAAGTTGATTTACGTTGTTTGATTATAGCAATTTATCATTCGAAATCATCTTATAAAAGTTATCCACCTGGTATTAAACAAATAGATCATTCACGAACAATCGATACGCCTTTTAAATATCCTACTTCTGATGTAGATTGTGCCTATGCAGTAGATGTAAATTGTAAATCAGAAATGTGTTTATCTGTGATTAAATTTTGGGATGGTTTACAGGTTGGTTTTATTGAAAGATGAACTGTTTATTAATAATATGCGTGTTTGTCATTTAATTGTCATTTTGAATATGTTTACTATTGTAAAAAAGGACACTTTCGATTTTGATTTTCAACATAGGAAAAGTGTATTGTCTTACTGTTTAGCTCTGTATTTTTAAAAAAACGTCCCTATCATAATTTCTCAAGGTGTTTATCCTACATATTTTGTTAAAATTAAAGGAACATTTATTTTCGAAAAGTTTTTGTTATGGATTTTAAGGATTGTTAGGCAAGATACTTTTTATTCATAGCCACCAATGTAGTCAGATATTTTGCCTTAAACAATGTATGATCAGAAGCATCTGGAATACTATAAATATAGTTAGATAATTGCTAGCAGTGGAATTCCGGACGCGCGTTTCGTCTTAGTTGTAACTGGTTAACAGAGTGTACCTCTATCTTAGAGCTAATGTTCACTCTTAGATTCTAACTCAGCATTGTTCGCTCCGAATGCTGTCACGCTATCGACTTAGCTTCTGAGTTCAAATAGTCACTAACCTTTCGATAATGTGAATTTTAATTTGTTTGTAATAGTTTTTTTCTAATCTTCCCATTGATATTTAGGAATGCAGCTGGGCAATCTGTTTTGGAATGTATACATGCTTAAGTTACAAGCATTATAAATGTACTAATATCCGATTGAAGAGTCCCAAATGTTACGAAACAGGTATCCTGGATTCCAATGCTAGTCACTATCTGTCTGTGCTAACAATGTTTGTAACTTAAAAGTAATACTTGGACTTATAGCTCGTTAAGACATTCAACTCTTAGTCACTTGGTCTTAGACCTAAATCTTGTTATTCATTGGTTTGTGCAAGCGAGTAGTATTAAACATAGAGCCATAGGTCATAGCTAATTTCACCAGTTCACACTTGATAACTAAGTTAACAAATAAGTATGTTCCTTTATTCGTTCTCTTTATTATTAGGCTCTTCATCTAATGGATATCGTACAAATTGGTCATATCTTATGTTTCACTGATTTGCAATTACGTCATTGTCAAACAGTTAACACAATGCCTAAATCAAATGATCAACCTTCCCGTGCGATTCCCCTTATTAATTTACATTATACATCTGCTAGTAATGTGACAGTTGAAAAACCAATTACTCGACGTTCTAGTCGAATTACATCAACGAATGAATCAGTAAGTTGATTGTATGTTTTCTTTTTTCCTTTATTGTTTCATTGTCACTTCAAATGATTGTTACGTACAGTCGAGCATATCACATGATATTCATAGAAACCTATCAGGTATGTATGCGTACTGCTTAGCAAATCAGTGGATTTTTGAACAATTAAGAATTAAAGTATTCACAAATTCTAAGTTATAATGGGCTTTTGTATATATATATATATATATATATATATATATATATATATATATAAGCACTATTCATTAATATGTATAACCATTTTAGTGATTCAAGAAAGCTTATTATGGTTAATAACTAAATACCTCTATTAGCGGATAACTTTACTGGACAGACAGACAAACAGATGCAACGTAGAAATTCGTACATACGTATATCCGTTGTTAGGTTGTCATACCGCATATTAGCACGGAGACGCAACTGTCAGTTCAAATCCCATAGTGGTAGAAATAGTAAAAGTATTCGGAGTAATGGAGAAGATAAGAGTTTGAAGATATAATTCGTGAAGTACAATTCAGTGAGATACATTTACAAAGAGAAAGATAGAAATGATGAGGAATTTAGAAGGTTAGAATTTGAGAAAACACAAAGAGTGGATGCACTTGCGCCATTGCAAACGATTTTAAGCCATTGTTATGCCTGCACGTAAACACGTCATTTTGATATGCTTGAACTATTACTAGTTTACCTAGTCAGAAAACGAGAGCGAGGATCGAGGGTCCGGTGGCACGACATGCTACTCAAACCCGATTGAGTAAAAGTAAGGAGACTTGAAAGGAAGTGGAACCTGTATTCTACAAGAATCCAGAAGTACGAGGTCCTAGTCCAGAAGAGAATCAGGATCCCGGACTAGGGATCCGGGACCGGGTACTAGTCCTGGTCATAAAACGTTACAGATAATGCGTATTTATACATTTTGGTCGAATAGGAAACAGCATCGAAGTCTGTGACATTAACAGTTAAGACGACCAATAGGAAGCAACATTTGAAGTGACATTGATATCTAGGACGACCATAAAATTGACCAGTAGGAATTAACCAATAGGAATTGACCAATAATTCTCTTAGGATATTGGATGAATATCCTAACAGCCATGTCGTTCAAGGTCTCTAACCGTTGGTGACTTACGTCTCGCGGACCTCAACCAGGTAGCCTACATCTACCAACATGACTCAGTCCACTTTGCTGGAAGAAATCTTTTTCATCACTGAGGATTACAGTTATTTATTTTGTTTCAAGTCTATTACAATCATTAAGTCTTGCAGTTAATTGATAAATTTTATGAAATATTTATCTGTATATTTAGACTGACGTCCTTAATTTATCTGATAGTTCAAGGAGAATTAAAAGTCTTTCTATTCATATAGATCTTGTCTTATTTACACCTTGACTGAATAATGTTTTAAATGTTTTGTTGTATTCATCTCTTCGGAATTCTACAATCCATTCAATTAGTTTGACTTAATTTTAAAGCTAGAATGGTCCGGTTAAAGTGTGTGTACGTTATCATCTAATAGTTAATGTACACTTACAGATTCGTTTAAATGGACTACCAAAAGCTACGTGATATGTGTACGTGTGTGTGAAGAAAATTTCACCAATTTTATTTACATTAAATTCAAATAAAGTAACCAAATACATTAACTCTTTCTCGACAGTACCCATGTAATAACACTAACAAGTATTTTATCCTATTCAATCCAAGTCCATTGAACTTGGTGATTTGAATGTCAATGAATGTGTATTATGTGTTTGCAATAGTGAATAACGGTTTCAAAATAATTCAGTCATTTCAATAGTGAATATTGTGTGTATTATGCTCGTCAATTGATATGCTGGAATGCCATAACGAGTTCATCTTAGTCGGTAAACGAGAACGAAAACACGGTAGGCTCAAGGCCCCACTAAGTAGAGGAAGAAGTCTTGATATGGCGTAGAAAGTGTATTCCACATGAACCCATTAAATTTGAGGTTGACAAGCACAGAAATCCAGTTTATTTATACATGATGGAAACGTCCTTGAGAGACCCACAAAATAGCGTACCAAAATAATACCTCAACCAATAATAGTCATGGATTTTCCGATTGGGAATTTAAATCTCAAGGTCAACTGATCGGCCTATGCTCCAGAACATAAAATCCAAAATTAGGACCTTTATCAAGTGAGTTCTGGGGATCTAACGTCTTCAACAGTATGTTTTCATTTGTTTTCATTTTTATCATCTTTAGGATCCTAATATTGTGTCCTATTTACAACAAGTTGTGAAGGATTTTCTGTATTCAAAATCAGGATATGACATAGATTTACCAATATCTAATTCTCCTATGAATTACAACAAATCCTTAACTACTTCTACATTGAACACACCATATTCTTCTGGTGTTGGTTTATCATCATTGTTACGCGGTTCCATTGGTCGTGTGCAATCAACTCCTGTTTGCCCTACTATGGAAACTCCAAAAATGGGCATTTCAATGGAGACTTCTACTAATAGTTTATATGTAACTTGTCAGTCACCAATTAATTCAGTGCTTAAACAAGATCTTCCACTTAAAGAGCAAGTATGTTATTAATAATATATAATGTTACTTACTTACTTACTTACTTACTTACTTACTTACTTACTTACTTACTTACTTACTTACTTACTTACTTACTTACTTACTTACTTACTTACTTACTTACTTACTTACTTACTTACTTACTTACTTACTTACTTACTTACTTACTTACTTACTTACTTACTTACTTACTTACTTACTTACTTACTTACTTACTTACTTACTTACTTACTTACTTACTTACTTACTTACTTACTTACTTACTTACTTACTTACTTACTTACTTACTTACTTACTTACTTACTTACTTACTTACTTACTTACTTACTTACTTACTTACTTACTTACTTACTTACTTACTTACTTACTTACTTACTTACTTACTTACTTACTTACTTACTTACTTACTTACTTACTTACTTACTTACTTACTTACTTACTTACTTACTTACTTACTTACTTACTTACTTACTTACTTACTTACTTACTTACTTACTTACTTACTTACTTACTTACTTACTTACTTACTTACTTACTTACTTACTTACTTACTTACTTACTTACTTACTTACTTACTTACTTACTTACTTACTTACTTACTTACTTACTTACTTACTTACTTACTTACTTACTTACTTACTTACTTACTTACTTACTTACTTACTTACTTACTTACTTACTTACTTACTTACTTACTTACTTACTTACTTACTTACTTACTTACTTACTTACTTACTTACTTACTTACTTACTTACTTACTTACTTACTTACTTACTTACTTACTTACTTACTTACTTACTTACTTACTTACTTACTTACTTACTTACTTACTTACTTACTTACTTACTTACTTACTTACTTACTTACTTACTTACTTACTTACTTACTTACTTACTTACTTACTTACTTACTTACTTACTTACTTACTTACTTACTTACTTACTTACTTACTTACTTACTTACTTACTTACTTACTTACTTACTTACTTACTTACTTACTTACTTACTTACTTACTTACTTACTTACTTACTTACTTACTTACTTACTTACTTACTTACTTACTTACTTACTTACTTACTTACTTACTTACTTACTTACTTACTTACTTACTTACTTACTTACTTACTTACTTACTTACTTACTTACTTACTTACTTACTTACTTACTTACTTACTTACTTACTTACTTACTTACTTACTTACTTACTTACTTACTTACTTACTTACTTACTTACTTACTTACTTACTTACTTACTTACTTACTTACTTACTTACTTACTTACTTACTTACTTACTTACTTACTTACTTACTTACTTACTTACTTACTTACTTACTTACTTACTTACTTACTTACTTACTTACTTACTTACTTACTTACTTACTTACTTACTTACTTACTTACTTACTTACTTACTTACTTACTTACTTACTTACTTACTTACTTACTTACTTACTTACTTACTTACTTACTTACTTACTTACTTACTTACTTACTTACTTACTTACTTACTTACTTACTTACTTACTTACTTACTTACTTACTTACTTACTTACTTACTTACTTACTTACTTACTTACTTACTTACTTACTTACTTACTTACTTACTTACTTACTTACTTACTTACTTACTTACTTACTTACTTACTTACTTACTTACTTACTTACTTACTTACTTACTTACTTACTTACTTACTTACTTACTTACTTACTTACTTACTTACTTACTTACTTACTTACTTACTTACTTACTTACTTACTTACTTACTTACTTACTTACTTACTTACTTACTTACTTACTTACTTACTTACTTACTTACTTACTTACTTACTTACTTACTTACTTACTTACTTACTTACTTACTTACTTACTTACTTACTTACTTACTTACTTACTTACTTACTTACTTACTTACTTACTTACTTACTTACTTACTTACTTACTTACTTACTTACTTACTTACTTACTTACTTACTTACTTACTTACTTACTTACTTACTTACTTACTTACTTACTTACTTACTTACTACTTACTTACTTACTTACTTACTTACTTACTTACTTACTTACTTACTTACTTACTTACTTACTTACTTACTTACTTACTTACTTACTTACTTACTTACTTACTTACTTACTTACTTACTTACTTACTTACTTACTTACTTACTTACTTACTTACTTACTTACTTACTTACTTACTTACTTACTTACTTACTTACTTACTTACTTACTTACTTACTTACTTACTTACTTACTTACTTACTTACTTACTTACTTACTTACTTACTTACTTACTTACTTACTTACTTACTTACTTACTTACTTACTTACTTACTTACTTACTTACTTACTTACTTACTTACTTACTTACTTACTTACTTACTTACTTACTTACCTTACTTACTTACTTACTTACTTACTTACTTACTTACTTACTTACTTACTTACTTACTTACTTACTTACTTACTTACTTACTTACTTACTTACTTACTTACTTACTTACTTA